GATCTGTTGCTGAAACAGATTAGTCAAACGATTAAATGATGAGATAATATTATCACTATCTGACAAGTTTGTTAAATCTTGTTCTGAGAAAACCTGGTCTGTGTCTCTACACCAAACATCTCTTTTAGACTTATCAAATAAAAAACTAGCCATGATACACAAGGACGGTACTTGGTATTAAAACCTAATTCTCAAAAAAGGAAACAATGAACGCACTGTTCAGTGTCTCTGTGTATACACCTGTACAAACCACCTCCCGGGAATAGACACAGGGTGTGGTGACAGGGGTCACACAGAAAGCAGTGTACCAATGTGGGACTCCAGAAATCCCAAACGGGGCTTAACCCAAAGTAAACAAGAAACAAGAAATATTGCGCAATGCAGTCAGTCTCCCTATATCCTAGGGACTAACCACATATCTGGAAATATCTATAGCGATCGAGTGTAATCCAAAAAACCTGATGGCAAAATTATAAATATAAATATAACTAGAGACCCAGAAACAGAAACAATCAAATAAAGTATATACAAGTGTGACTCAAATTCCATGCCAAATAAAGGGGGGTATACAAGGGGCTAAAAGTCTGCCGTATAATGTCCTGCCTCAACCCTAATTATCAGCTTTATTGTAGAATACTATAAGGGTATGAGTTACAAATGGCTAGACCCCCAACATAGTTCCCCACTTAGAAATGTCAATAGTAGGTATAACAAAAAGGCTCACAATAGAGCTAATAGAGATAAAGGGGAGAGATGGAAAGTGAAATGTAGTCAGTATTCAGTCTAAAAAAACAGACTGATATTTAAAGTTAAGCAAGCCTCTCTCCCTGTAAATCTAACTAGACAGGCATAGGAAGAAGGTAGAAAAATAGAAATAAGTGTTAAATAAAAATCATGGTGCTACAGCCACCAGTGCCCAGTGCTCATATACATGATATGAGGAGAAAATGCCCGACGTACGTTTCGGTGCTATAGAAGAGCACCTTCGTCAGGGGCCAACAAGAAACTGATTGAAAGTCTCTTAAATACAAGAAGTGCCAGGAGGCATGAATACCTTGGACCAATAAGATATGGGGGTGTGAATACCCAGCTGTATGTAATCTCCGATGTGTATCTGTGTCCTGGTAAACCACGAGAAACATATGGAGGCGGAGCTTACTGCCGGGCACGTGACCCGGTATCCTATGGGTCACGTGGTCTAAACGGCAGGACGGAAAGCAAACTGGGACACGTCGTGGGCGTAGTTAGGTATGTAAAACAAATGGCGATCCCCTATTACAACTAAGGATTACTCCGCCCCTCACAGTCAGCATAAAGCAGAATAATTTACTATTAAAGATTGTATCACATGTTTTACTAAGAATATAATTTTTCTTCTAATATGCCCGTGTGGGTTCCAATATGTTGGTAGGACCATTTACCCTTTACATAAAAGGATATATGAGGACATTAGCAATATCTGATAAGACTTCGATCAACATAGTTTTGATCAGCACATTTTAAGAAGTACCACAATAAAGACCCTAGTGGCTTATTTTTTTTAGGGATACAAATAGTTAAAAAATCCTGGCGAGGAGGAAATTATATTCAACAGATAGGAAAAGAAGAGATGAAGTGGGTACACAACTGCCTATTTTATATATATAATTTATTACACCATCAGATATATATTATTTGCAATATTAATGGCCTCTTTTTTTCTCTCCTTTTTAGTAGGTTCTCAGTTTTTTTAGTTTTTCACTTCTATATTTTATTATATGTTTAGATTATTTTCCCTTTATATTTTGTCTGTCTGTCTGTCTGTCTGTCTCTCTCTCTCTCTCTATATATATATATATAGTCTCCATTTAATCTAAGTGGTCAACGTTTCAGTGTCAGGTTTCAGGTGTCCTGAGGAAAGTTCACAATTGTGAAATGAAACGTTGACCACTTGGATTAAATGCCTATTTTTTCATGCTGAAGTCCTTGAGTGCTGGCTTTCTTTTTGGAGACTGTATTTGTGTGCAGCTGAGCAAAGGGCCAAGATCTGGAGGAGAGCTGGAGTGCAAAACTCCCATCGTATTATATATATATATATATATATATATATATAATGTATTTTGATGTCTTGATGTGTTGATGTACTCTATGGGACACTTCATTGTTTTGTGATTTTCGTCAGAAACAATGTTTAGGTGATATGCCAGAAAATTGTGGACTTTGTATATTTGCATTAAAATATGCAGTTACTCAGACTTTGGGTTTCTAGTAAGAACCAATGATGAAGAGATCATTACAAACCACGCTCATCATGGCAGCTTCAAAAGAACAGGACGGCTGGACTGTGATGTATTCGGAGGAATCCGCCCTGTCGAAACGCCTTTGTGCATATGACGTCATCACGCTATCTGAAGCTCCGGTTCCCGGAAGAACTCCCTGCAGTGCTGACAACTTTGAAAGACCACTAGTGCTAGCCACGGCCCTGACAGACTGTACTACTGAGGGGATATGAACTTCTACAAGGGATAAAGAGCCATATCACATACATGTGAACTTTTACTTATGAGGAAATAAAGCATACTTTTGTGTTCAGCTGCCGTCCTGATTACCTGCCATTTTATTTAGGACAAAAGCCAGAGAAGTTAGAGCAGACTTTTACTGCTCTCTCCTTGTGAGTTTTATTCCATCCATTTATTTATTATTTTTACACTATACAGTATGCGAAAAAGGAAAACAGACCAGATGGGTCAAAAGAAATAGGGCGCCCCCTAATTGATTGCCATATATGTATGTACAGATAAAATATAACCTTTAATAGTTACTGTATTAAAATACTCATATTGGAAGTAAAGAGATAAGGATAACAAAACATAATTAAAATCAGTATGGATAGGTGAGGATAACTCTGAGTGGGATATATAGTCTATTCGAAATATCACTTCAAAAGAATCTTGAAGTAGATAAGAAAAATCCCACTTAGATGTTAATCCTTATTACAGATAAATAGTCACTTGCGAAGATCTTACTATCCAAGTGATAGTGTGTAAATAGGTAACTCTCCTAATTAGGATACCCCCCTCCCAAACAATTGCTTTATTTGCAATTGCTCTAAAGTGAAATAAATTGTAGCAATCTCGTGTTACATATAGAGGAGAGAAGTTTGTACCTATAAAATGTACAAAGATCTATTACAAAGTGGCTAAATTGCTCAAATATGTTGGAGTCAGCAGTGTGGTGATACAATGTAGATATTGCCTCTTCAGCTGTCAGATAGCAGAACCTCAGTGTGAGGTTAGCGGGATCGAAAGAGAGAAGCTGGTCTCCCCCACAAGGTGTGGAAAAACGTCTCTGTTCATGCACCCATCCCCAATGTAGCAACACGCTCACCCAACTCAAAAAGATATTGACTAGCTGACTGCCTAAAAATGTCACAATTCGAGCGCATACACCTATCCAGACTAGCTACCTAACAGGTGTTTCGGCGCTGCTAAACGCGCCTTCTTCTGAGGCTATACAAGTGTCCTCAGAGTACCAGTGGCTCATTTATACCCTCATTGCGCCAATAGGCAGATGGGGCATGTAACCTGGGTTCGCGCCAGAAAGCCGAGACCCAAACTTGCCACGCCCCCCAATGATGTATCGTCATGATAAGTTGACACCTACTTGTGTATGGATATATTTTAACCCTTAGTTCGCCATGATTATAACCAGATGGTCTCTCTCTAGCACAAAGAATAACTGGACACAATTGTACCATATTGCATCCAAGTTAGATCTTTTGAAATAAGGAGAGAGATGAGGAAATGAAATCGAGTAGATGAGCAAACATAGGTGTTAATTTCTAGAATCATTTATTGAAATATTAAACTGATACAGCGGAAATAGTAAATACTATAATCTATAAACGTCCATGGGGAAAACCTATCTTGTTGAATGTAAACAAGTCTCGCTATAAAGTTCTGTTTCCTAAATATGGCTAAGTCCCACTAGTCTGGGGATAATGAGTTGTGACTCTTTTAAATCCATATATTACATTCATACACAGACGTATAATAGAAAACCGCCTAAAGGTATAATTACATATATTAATAAGCATGAAACTCCCCACTTAAATAGAGTAGGTTTATACTATGTCAACTGCCTGAGGAGTGTGGGCCACTGGTGTATCAAAAATAGTAAACTAATAGAAGAAATTATTTACAACATTCAAGAAAAGGAAAAGGAAAAGGAAGCTATATATATACATAAACATATATTTACAGTAGTTAACTCCTTCGTAGTCTTATCTCTCAATGAAAGGAGTGAAGGTGAAACCCTCATTTAAGCCATTGGGGGCCAAAGTCCTGAACCTGTATATCCAGTAACATTCTCGTTTTAGGAGGGTAAGGTCCTCTACGTCCAAAGATCACTTTTTTAATCCCTGCAAACCTGACAGCTTCTGAATCCCCCTGATGGTGATTTCTTATGTGTCTCGCCACTGGGGTATCCCTAAAGTTTTTGATGGAGTGTATATGTTCCATAACTCTCCTTTTCAGGGGATGGATGGTTTTGCCCACATATCTGAGACCACATTTGCAAACTAGAAGGTAGATCAAACCTTTAGTGTTAATGTTAAAGAACTGTCACTTGAATCTGTAAGACATTTTGAGTCCTTCATCATGTACCCACAAGCAACACATTTTCCACATTTATACGTGCCTTGTACTGAAAGCCAACAGTGCCCAGACCCTTTGGAGGAAAAGTGACTAGGCACTAGGAACTCCATTAGATTTCTACCTCTTCAAGCTGTAAGTGATGCATAGGGGGTCACTGACCCTTTAAGCTGGGGGTCTTGGGAAATGAGAGGCCAGAACCTCCCTAATATCCTTTTTGCCTGATCCCAGCTGGATTAATAAGGATTAACATCTAAGTGGGATTTTTCTTATCTACTTCAAGATTCTTTTGAAGTGATATTTCGAATATTTTATATATACCACTCAGAGTTAACCTCACCTATCCATACTGATTTTAATTATGTTTTGTTATCCTTATCTCTTTACTTCCAATATGAGTATTTTAATACAGTAACTATTAAAGGTTATATTTTATCTGTACATACATATATGGCAATCAATTAGGGGGCGCCCTATTTCTTTTGACCCACCTGGTCTGTTTTCCTTTTTCTCTAGTTGCACACACAAGTGAGGGTTATTCCCTATCTTGGACGCCCCAGATACACATCCAGCTGGTCCCCCTAGGGGTATCTAGCGTTTTTTACTATACAGTTTGATACCATGTTTTTCCCTTTTTCTCTTTTAGGCATTATGTTCTTATATATCCCTGGAAGGAATATTGTGATACTCCATTTTTAGGACACTAATAGTAAGTTTCTTTAGTAAACGTATCACTTAATACACTTGTGCATTTGCACACTTCTTTAATTTATTGATATTGTACTGTTAGCACTATATTATGCATTGCACTTACACTTTTACATTGTGTTGCACTTTTATAGTATTTTAAAGGTATAGCTCACCATTTTTTTTATCTTATATTAGGTTGATTGGGTGTTTTTGAGCTATCTCCCTGGTAAGGTGCAGCTCTACCTTTTTTAAACATATATTTTACCATTGTATTTTAAAGTTTAATGCCTTCTTCCTTGTTCTTTTTTATGAATGTTATCCATTTTTATACAATATAATTTTTATATACATGGTATTTGCCAATTTAATTGAATTAAAAAAATTATAAAAAATAAAAATAATTGTTGATTTACTTCAATGAAAAAAAATGATTAAAGTGTATGTGGTATCTTTTATCCCTTTTCCTGAAGCTCCCTCTATGAAATGACATGCCAGAATATACATAATTTTGGGAGCCAAATTTAACTGAAAGCAACTACAAACATATTAGGTCACTTGTAATGGTAAATTAAGTAATTTCTTTATATTTATGAAGTTCTGAATTGCATAAATATAAAATAATACCACAAATAAAATAATAAAAGGTATACTGGTCAATCACATAAATATTAGTGAATATCTTGAATGAACAGACAAGAGGCAAAGTTTTGATGAAAGTATAAACAAAACTTTACTGGGAATACAATTATCAAGCACACAAAAAAGAAACAAATACTTTAAAAACATACACTGCTATAAACAATACATTCAGGTAAGAAATCTACTTAGCTCTATTCATGGAGATTCAGCAGCTTACACAGGATAATTGAATCAGCATAACACACAGAACAATGAGGTGAGTTCCTTGCCACATGTTAAATGGATTTACATGGGCACCTCTAAAGACACCTGGCTTCTTCCGACCCAGTCATGAAACTGAAACTCTAGTTTCTGGAAACCCCATCTAGTATCCACCCACAGAGGTAACATAACCAATACCTAATGGTCATCTCTAGGAGGCGGATACTACATGTGGTCCTTTGTGAAAGGAAGTGACTTAAGAATTCTCAATACCTTCCTAAAGCACATGTCTCATTGACTATGCAGCAGCCATCTTTATTCACTCGACGTCACAGTGCTCACTAGGCCACCTATAGGTCACTTCCTCCCTAAAGCACATGTCTCATTAAATATGCAGCAGCCATCTTCTTGCTCTTAATGTCACATAGCTCACTACACCCCCTATAGGTATCATAAGTTATTGCACATGAATGGGAACACAATAGAACATTTATCATTGCCCATAACCAATACAATCCACCTGTTGATCCCATTACATGAGTAATAACTATAACTCATATATTTCTCGGATAGGTCTTACTTTCTTCATAGCTTGCTTTCCCACACATATAATACAATTTACAAAAAAATACAATATTATACATAAAACAACACCCACTACTACCCATTGCATTACTTTAAACCCTAAATTACCCAACCACCCAAAAGGTCCACTATCCGGTGGATTCTGGAGCTTCTTCCTGGTATCATTTATCTTTGAAATATCATGTGTTATTGCGCCAGAGTTATTGACAATATATGAGCAGCACTCTGTCCCTACCAACGCACAAACGCCTCCTTTGGCGGCCAAGACATAATCTAATGCCAGTCTATTTTGCAACACCACTGCTCTCATTTGTACCTGCTCTTGGGATAGTTTGTTAATAGCATCCACGGTTGCATCTAAAGCTTCATCCACTAGCTTTTTTAAAGCTTCTATTCGAGTTAATGACCAATATACTCCCCAGCCGGGAAATACAATTCCAGAATTAGCTTCATGTTCTCCGATAAATGAACTCCACCGTTTATTTCTAATCATGCCTTCTGGAAAGCTATTTCTATGCCTTATGGCGGGGATGATTGATCCAATGTAACATTCTCCTTCCCATTGAGTAGGTAACCATCTATAGGCCCAATTACCACACAGAAAATACACACCTCTGGGAAAGACACTGTAACTATTATCTGGGGCCCCACTAAAACAAGTGTCCAGGAGTATAGAAATAAAGGGAAAGCTCAGTCTTTTTATTGCACCATGAGAGGTCATACTTATTACTCTCACCATTGGGCTGGAGTCTTTGACAGTCATTGCCCAATGTTGTTCATTACCATAGCCCTTTACCCAGGCAGATGTACAGTTAGAATATCCCGTTTTAGTGGCATTGGCTCCATTGTTATGTGAACTGATACAAATAGCACCTTCCTGGGGGCGGTTTATAATATGCAATCTGTCCAATGATTGTGGCTTTCCTTCTTCTCGGTACCAGCCGAATCCTGTATTATTATATTGTTTTAACTCCTCCAATGTCCATGGAACACCAACATATGGGTAACTGCTCTCCTCGCTGAATGATATGGTCCCACAAATCCACCAATCCGTGCTGTTTGACACTCTCGAATAACTTGCTAATAGATTCAGGTATGAGTTGGAGGACCAGGGATCCGACTTGTCTATATAGCCACCAATCTGTTGGAAGGAAAGAAAACAGGGTGAGTACCTCCACTTAGTAATACAACTTTAGTGTCACCGGGTCCATTGGACAGTATTTCTCCCTTCTGTTTGACCTGCTCACCTGCTCGTGGTAGCACCCATACTTTGGAACCTGTCTGTAAGGTATTGCTTTCCTCCCATGTCACTAATACTTTCCGTGGGATCCAAATGGATACCACGCCTAATACAGTGTGTGAGAAAATCTGACCTGGACACCCCCTGGTCAATGGGATTTCCCACAAATCTGATAACACATTTACCATCCCTGTGGTCAACCATTTATCATCTCTTAGCTCCTCTGTTAGGGCAAAGGTCACTTCAGTCCCTTCTGGTAATATCCCACCCATGGGAAGGATGTATGTCATCCATTCATCACCCTGTACAATCTCAACTAAGTTCTGGCTGACCACTTTAAATTTGTTCTTCCCCACCTGTTGGGGGAAAGATCCCTTGAACCTTAATCGAACTGACACAGTTGGTGTCCCTACCTGTCCAGTCAATCTTTCATAAGGTGAAAACTGTCCTATTGGTCTACTATTTAGTATCATAACTGCCTGCGTGATCACCTGGTCCCACCCCCTCAATGTCCTACTTGGGGATAGCTTCCGAATCTGTTCTTTTAAAAGCCCATTGCACCTTTCAATCAACCCCGAAGCTTGAGGATGATAGGGGATGTGGAAGATCCACTTAATCCCTGAGTCATTTGCCCACTGCTGTACGAGCTGTCCAGTGAAGTGGGTTCCATTGTCTGTCTGAATCTCAGATGGCAGTCCATAAGCAATCACAAGAGTCTGTAGCATCTGAAGTGTTGAGGCCTGGTTCGCATGTTTGCAGGGTAATACTTTCAGAATTCCGGAAAAGGTGTCTACAGCAGTACAACAATACATCTGCCCCCCTCTTCCTTTAGGCATGGGACCAATGTAGTCCATCTGCCAGATCTGTCCTGCTATTGTTCCTTTATTTAAATGTCCACGGGCTTGCTTCGTGAGGGGCCATTTCTTAACCTCATTGCAGGTCTCACATACTTCTTGAGCTTGGACAATCATCTGGAGAGTTATTGGTAGTCCTCGGGCTCGCGCCCACTCTAGCGTAGCTGCTTTTCCTCTATGACCCGCGGTCTCATGGGCCCAGTCTGCCATCCTAAGTAATACTGGATCAACAGGTTCTGGTGTTATTTTTGCCTCTCGTATTCGGGTCAATTCATCGGCTATCTTATTCGGGTTCTCTTCTCCAGTACTGTCTTTCACATGGGCATTAACATGTCCGAGGTGTATTAATCTTGATTGGGCTGTTTTCCATATATTTTCCCATAAATCTTCTCCTCCCCATACTGTCTTGCCATGTATTTGCCACCTGTTGTTTCTCCATGTAGGCATCCATGTAACACAAGCCTTGTACACAGCCCAGCTATCTGTATAAATGTAGAGCTCTGGATCTGTGGTTTCTTCCATCAGTATGACTATGGCAGTCAATTCAGCATATTGACTAGATCCTCCTATTCCCTTCTCTTGAATCACAATTTGTTGCTGAGGGTTGTAAGCTACTGCAGTCCAATGTCATCCTTTGTGGGTCATGGTTGCAGACCCATCTGTGAACCATGCATTTTTCTTTTGTTCTTCACC